TTGGTACCCTTTTGGAGCTCATCTCTGCCATTCTTTACACACCATAAAATGACCCTATAGAAAATCTGACCCACTGCCCTCGTGGGGATGCCAGAAGAAAGCAGAGCGATCTACTCTTCTGCAGTTAAAATTCATCCTTGTGCTGTGGGGCAGCACAAAGCCAAAGCATGACTTACAATGCAGTGGGGGCAAGTGGGGAGCCCCCCTCTGCACAGTGATGAATGCTTATTACCCTGCGCACACAGTGTTTGCAAGGCTCAACTGTCCTGTCTGGTAACAATGAAGTTTTTTGAACATGAGTGGTTGGGTTTGGCTGCCTGCCACCGTCCTACTTTCTCATGGGCCTCAGCCCAAAATCAGTTCCAGCAATCATACTCATTCCAAGGAGTGTTTGCAGTGTTGTCTTCCAAGATTTTTGAACCTTGCAAATTTTGACTTATCTGCACTGTTCTTGTAGGTCCGAGATTGACTGAAGAAAAACTGAGGTTCTCTTTTGAAAGTTTCCGATTCTCACTTGGAAAAGTGCAGGTGGACCAGAAAAGCTCCAAAGCCAGAAGGCAAAGAGCATGTTTTCGGTTGTGATTGTTGTGAGCCCCAATTTATGGCTTTAGAGTTTGGTGGTTTTTCACATTAGCAGTGCCTCTGTGGAAATACAGTCATCTGCGTGTGAGAACACATGGGGACTTATTTTCTGAACTGCATGGGGTAAAAGCAAGTCACGGGGAGTGTGATGGAGCCACTACCTCCACTGTCCTTACAGTGAGTATTCAAGACTGCTGGGTACTGGAGCCTTGACCATGTCATTCATTAAACCAGTGGTTCTCAACTTTTTTTAGACTTGAGGTCCTCCAAATCTAATGTGGGGTGCACCCCACATTAGACTCGAGGCCCTCCTCAAAAAACACTGGCTCTCTGCTTTCCCTCACTTTGCTCATGGAATGATACCAGAGCAATTTTTCTGTTGCAAAGAACTCAAAAAGGTCACAACAGTCGACACGTTTTCTGATGCTCTGGGTCCCTACTTGAAGCCTGGGTTTATCTTGTAAATGACATGTAGTTTATTTGTTGTGTCTCTTTTTTTAATGAAACTATTCAATAAAATAACTCATTTATTTTGGGATTTTCGTAGCCAACTTGAGAATTCTGAGCAGATGCTGGAATTGAAGAACAGTAACAGCCTACAAAGAATGGCCTCGTCAGAATCTACGGACTCAGGTTAGATTACTTTAATAGCAAATAAAAGCTTGGGAATGAAAAAGTGGTATCCTCTTGTTTGCTTAATGTCTGTAATGGGCAGACTTAAAATTTAAAAGTCCAGGCTAATGCTACACACTCTCAGGTAGCTAATCATATTAGTCTGAAGTCAGGCAGAAGATGGTTCAGGGTAGCATGAAACCAACTGATTCAGAGAGGCATGACCCTTCATAGGCACCAACATACTTTGTCAGGTACTGTGAATGCACTGCCAGAAAGCAAGGGTTTTATATAGAAGCGAGCAAGGAGAGATGCTGCTGCTAAGAGAGGTAAGAAGTAGATTGATTGGGTGAATTAAAATGCAGTTAACTGACTTGTTCATCTTAAATTGATCTAATCAAGCCACATACTAAGTATCTTGGCAGCTGTCTCTTCCCTTTGTTCCCTTCTATATAAAAGCTCTTCTTTCTGTCAGCTGAACAGTTTGCTGTCAGAGATGCCTCAAGCCTTCAGAATTTAGTTAAGCATTAGCTGAGGCTTTAAATCATGGTGGTGTGGTCAGTGTCCGTGCAGGTGCTAATAAGGGAGGATCATGTGTCCAAAGCCAACTTCTCCTATACCTCCTGGTGGTGTCACATGCTGGTTGTCCCCCTAACTGCTTGCCCTCTGGGGTTAGTTGCGTGTTAGTGATGCCATCTTTATCTAGACTAGCAGGGATGTGGCTGGTGTGCTACATACAAAGCTCCATGCCCTTCCCAAGTGCAGTTCTGATCTCCTCCTCCTGCCTAATCTGTTGCTCTGCTTTCTGTTCCCTCCCTGATCTATCATATGCCATGCACGTGGGCTGCCTGTGCCACTAGTGGCCACCCCTGGTCTAGCACTTGGAAAGTCCTGAGTGGGGGAAAGGTGCTACCTTTAGTGTGCTGCTTACAATTGCTTAATGCTTTCCTAATTCTAAAGACCTGAGCATCAGGGATTAAAGACCACCTTTTTCCTTAGATGTTCTCCCTTTCATGTGCAGCCTGATAAAACTTGCATAGACAGCAAAGCAGAGTGAGATAACAAGAGGGTGCAACATGGAGACATGAAGAGGCAGCTTGCTTCTGTCCACTTGTTTAAAACAATTCTTTCAGGGTCCCTTGAGAGGATATCCTGTAAGCTCCAGCAAAGCTGCTTCATTGTTCTCCTTTAAATACTTCCTTAAGACTCCTTTCA